TTCAAAGAGCAATTGAAAACTTGAAGTTCTTTTGTTGAATCGTTGATGATAATTACATTAATTTTTTATCTGTCTACTCTCTAACATATATATTTTAATCTGAATTGATAGATATAAATTAATTTCAATCTTGGCTTTTATTGCAAGGTCTACGTTTATTTATTCATTCATATTCATCCATCCATTTAAAATACTCTTCTAGTGTTTTTTTTGTCGCGTGTCCATAAGCAGGTACAGTTTTACCGCTGAACTCTGCTTGGACGGATCGATCGGCGTGAGGGCACGATCTCATCTCTTTTTGTATCTTTTCCTTTCTCTGTCGCCCGCGATAAAGAGGCACAGTGTGTGTACGTGCGCGTCGCGCACGTTGCTCGAAACGATTGGGCGCAATGTACACGGAGCACAACGACTGTGGCGAATGAACGTAGCGGGTTCCCGAAGGAGCTACGCTCCGCTGCGCGACATAACGACTCGCTAAGTACGTACTTGTAGGTGGTTATTTTTCCCCTGATATCAGGAGAGACCGCCTCGTACTTTTTCGCCATCTTTGATATACGAACGCACACACGATATCGCGTTCTCCTCTTCGCGTCGCTGGCGCACAATTAGGACCTTTCTCGCTCTCTTCGCATCGCATCTTTACTCCCTTTTTTCCTCCCGCCGGCGGAATTGATCTGCTTAAATTACCGCGACGCGACGAGACCAAGATGCAGAAACAAAGAAAAGGGTACAATAACGCGAAGGCGGAGTTGGGTATCGTTCCACGCTACATTCCTCGTATTCGTAGAAAATAATATAGGTGCCAAACGAAAGAGCCTTAGAAGGAACTATTTCACGGACGCAGAGTGATACTTTGTTTTTTTTTTACAACGAGAGTAGTTAATTGATAAGAGTGTTCGTCTGGCAACTCATAGTTCATTTTACAACGTAACTTATTATAATAAATTAATAATGATATATTGAAAAAATATTTATAATTTGTAATAATTAAAAAAGAAATTTTTATACAAGTATTACTTTGCGACCAAAAGCAATAAATTACGCTAATCAGTTGTGTCATACAAAAAAATATTTTGAATTTATTGTAATATTATGACGCGTAACGAGAATATTTTTAGTTTGATCAATCGAAATAAATAATGCAAAAAATACAGAAAATATAAATCCTAACAATTCTTATAACAGACGACTTTCAAATTTCCCTAAAATTTTAGAACACTATTCTTATTTTTCCCGAGCGCTCTTTTATTTGCTGTTAGCAGTTAGGAGGAAACTATCTTTTTATCCTTGTATCAACCGTACGAGAAGTTCTTTGTACATCTACCTGATGCAGTCAATCATAAATGGACAGAAATGCTAGACAATCCGCGGTTATCTGCATCTATAAAACTTAAAGATGTTTGGGTCGCATCTCAAAACACATTACTAAAAATACACAAATTTCATAGATTGTTCCTTTGTTTGAATATCTGTAAAATTTGAGCACAATTCTTTTATTGGGGTTTAAAAGTTATTTCATTTTTTTGTTAATCTTAATTCTTATGTAAAATCACATTTTCTAATACTTATTTGCAAATTTGATGAGGAAGTAACATTAAGAATTAAATCACATCTTAAATATACTAATCAAACAATAAATATTCGTGCAAAAATTTATTTGGATCCACTTATTTTTTTAAAAGTTATTGATCTAAAACTACAGAAAAATCCGGTCATTTTCCTGCATAAAATCATTATATTATAAGTCAAATTATTTCTTTTGTTTTTTTGCAGTTGATTTCAAGGAAAATTCGCGGACTAATATCTCCAAAATTTTTTAATGATTGGCTGATATCAAAGACATAGAGCATGATGGATCGCGCTATTTATATCTAAATGGTGTATCAAATGTGGTCAACAAAAATGAGAGAAAAGTAGCTGAAGACGGCTAATCTCCTTCTCTTTCTAACATATTGTGATTTGTTGAATAGAAAGAGATAGAGACTGGCCATCTTCGCGTCCTATCTCTCTCATTTTTATCGACCAATTTTACGGATGGATGATGCAGTTCATACTTTATATCTTTGACTGATATTAGTTTATTTTAACTGATTATTTGACTGATACTTTTATCTGACATTATAGCTAAAATATCTCCTTAATTAGTTATCTCTCAGACTAGTTCTATTCAATCTCTCGCGTCATTCGTCAATAGAATACAGAAAGATTTCAATCAATTTCGTTGGAAGATAACAGATACATTGCCGATACGTACTGCACACATGGGTATTATAGGGTGTATTAGGGTAAATACAACTCGTTTGCCGAGACAACTCATTTTCGTAAAAATGCGGCACGGGGCGCGCAGCCACCGTCATCCACTTATCCCTCCAATCGCGAGAGCGCGATTCCTACGGAATAAAATGATCGAGAAGGATACGCGCGTGCTTCCCATCGCGTTGCATCGTATCGTATCGCATCGCGTGGCTCCGAGAGCCTCGCCGACGAGATTCCTCATCCGGCTCGGCCGTCAGCTCTGCAGGTTCTCGGAGACGTGAAAGCTGGGCGCTTGGCCTGGCGCGGGCGTCAAGCGCTCATTATTAATACGCAAGGCGGTGCTTGCCAAAGCGGCGGCAGGCATTCACGTGTTTTTCCTCGGGGCGCCGGGCAGGGAAACGGGATGAAACTGCGAGTGAGGGTGGCGGACGAGGGAAGAAGAGGTGGAGGAGATGGACGAAGGGTAGCCCTCTCTCCGCGGTATCACAGAGAGAGAGAGAGCACCTGCCGCCTCTAAATCTCGCTACTTAAGGCCGCTAAGTGTCACGGCCGTGAAGAGGGCCTCTCGCCATTCCATTTAATTGGCTAGTCTCGTGTGCACGCTATTTCTAGCGAGCCAAGAGTTGTTAGCTCATTACCAGTTGCCACTCGTATGGTGCGTATGGTAAACGGTATGGCGCGGCGCGGCTGGATTGACTTCGCGGAAACGCGTCCACGTGTGCACCTGAACGGGAAATCGAGCGCTAGCAAAGGAGCTGGACGGGTAAATTGGACGCGGATTTAACCGCTCGGTTGTTTAGGATGTAAGAGGACAAAGGAATCCGTCTAAGCTGCTCTCAAATAGATGTTGCGAAACATACGTGATGAATCTAATACGTATTTCACGTCTCTTTCCATTATTAACGCGAAATGTGTCCGCGCTCGACGCTTAGTTAACATTACGTGTGCGTTTCTCTTCGGAACAGAAACAAAAGTTATAGCGAATTCGGTGTCATTTGCATTACACTAAATTAACGTATATTAACTCTTTAAAACTTTTACAGTGTATTATTACTCTGACGAGTGAAATCTCACTCTTAAAGAGTGCAAATTAAGCCACTCTTTTTCAAAACTGGCTCAATCTTCACTCTTTAGAGTGAGACTTAAAAGAATTTAGGGAGAAGAGTTGCTATATATAAAATTAACAAAGTTAAGTGTAAAAGCATTCATAGTCGGACCTTATATTTAAAGCTTCCTTAAATTTATCTTCAGATGCTCTATACGAATTATTTCATTGGCTACTGAACATCTAAAGATAAATTTAAGGAAGCCTTAAGTACAAGATCTGACTATGAATACGGGCAATGAATTTTAAACAATTAAATGCCCAATAATGACATCATTACATTATTTAATAGAGTATTATTTTATTATCAAAGTTGATTATATCATGCCACTGCGTTTAGATACTTTATATAAAACAGCCTTTAATGTGTACTGATTCAATGTAATACGAGTGACCGAATTTATTATTAAAATCGAACGGTCGCGTAAGTCGCATTTAGTCCTAAATATGAAAATATGCAATTATCTTTAAAGAGATTAGTTGCATGAACAATTTTATTTTATACGAATTTCTTTATTACCTCTCTATACTTGCGTCTAATAATTATTTGATTTAATACAACGCGGAAATTTTTGAACGAATGCCAGATGACGAATAAACTGCACATAGGTGCGATATAATTCTCGAAGCTCGCATATGTTGACACGTGAGTTAACTTGTTTTCCCGTCATTTTTACATTGCATTCCTCGGCTTTTCGCACATCTCCGAAAGTGTATTAAGCAGCGCTGTAATAGCAGAGGCGTTCTGATACATGGCGAAACGTTGCCAAATTACAACAACGTATGTGACACGGTTGCTCAATCCGTCGACATGGCAGGTGCGCGTAAATTAGTGAGCCACCCAGCTTGCGACACGCGGTGTATAAATTTGATGATATCATAGAGCCAACGACAACAAAAAAAAAAAAAGAAGAAAGTTTCTCGCCCTTATGACATCCTCATTAGAAGAAACGCGTCGAGAAGTCACTTTCTTCTCTGTTTCGATCCTAGGATTTGTGATTCCACAAAATCCACGAATCGATTGGACATAGCTAATTTAATAAGAGACGCACGCGGGGTTTACGAGCCGCGATGTGGCGGCGCATCGGCAGCTGCAGTCGCAGCTCGAGATTTAAAAGCCGCTTTGCAATCGGCCCTCCCTTTCTTCCCTCTTTCTCCCACCCACTCGTTCGCGTTCCGCAGCAACTTTTTCTCGTTTCGTCTGTCTGTTGCACGGTCCATGGGCAGCGTCGTTCACGGCGCAAGCCGGCCGGTTTAATGTTGTTTTAATTAAGTAGGCGGTTAGCCGAAAAGAATGTCGAGTCGGTACTTTCGGTCTCGTCGACTTCCACTCCGTACGCCGGCTACCTTCTCTCTCTCTCTCTCTCTCTCTCTCTCTCTCTC